GTGTGTGTGTGGGGGTGTGGGGTGTGTTGGGGGTGTGTGTGGGGTGGTTTGTGGTGTGTGTGTTGGGGTGGTGTGTGTGGGGGTTGAGAGGGGTAGGGACTCAAGGCTACTGGGGTGTACCGTTACGGTGGAGGAGGGAGACTGCGTTCTCAGGCACCACTACAAGGCCACGCCCACACCCGCGCCCACAACTACACACAACTCAATAACACGCCCACTGCACGTAACTAAGTCTTAACCAACCACGCATGTACGCCCACAATACCTACCCACGCCCATTCCTCACATATACCTGTACACACACCTGAGTATCGTCACACGCCAATACTAACATCTTTCACGCCCACCAACTTTGTACCTTTCCCTTGTGACACGTCCGTACCCCCACGCCCACACGCCCATTTTTACACTGTACTCCACCCACTCTTGAGTACAATATGATGTTCGTCTTCACCGTACACCAACAGTATATAATGTACACCGCCTACCAAATGTACACACACACACACACACACACACACACACACACACACACACACACACACACATACACACACACACACACACACACACACACACACACACACACACATACACACACAGACACACACACACACACACACACACACACACACACACACACACAGACAGTATACACCATAGAATAAGTACAATGTATAACCCAGACCACTGTAGTGAGGGGCGTGGCTGGCTTAATACCTGTACGGAAGCCATTTAACACGGTAGCTTTGGTTAGGTTAGGAGGGAGGAAGGGAGGGTGAAGGAGCAGGTGTCTCTATATAAGGAAAGGAAGGAAGGGAGGTAGGGAGGGTGAAGGAGCAGGTGTGTCTATATAAGGAAAGGAAGGAAGGGAGGGAGGGGAGGGAGGGAGGGAGGGGAGGGAGGTGAAGGAGCAGGTGTCTCTATATAAGGAAAGGAAGGAGGGAGGTCAGTCATAATTTTGGCTCTATGGGAGACTGGATACACACACACACACACACACACACACACACACACACACACACACACACACACACACACACACACACACACACATTCAATGTATCTATGCAAGCCCATACTGTAATTCTACTCTGATATATATTAGGAGAGAGAGAGAGAGAGAGAGAGAGAGAGAGAGAGAGAGAGAGAGAGAGAGAGTGTGTGTGTGTGTGTGTGTGTGTGTGTGTGTGTGTGTGTGTGTGTGTGTGTGTGTGTGTGTGTGTGTGTGTGTGTGTAGAGGATTCCTGCCAGCCTCCTGAAAATAGCTGGATCGCCTGATTTACACTATGGTCGTTTAATATAATAGTCTCGGTATGGCAATAAACATTTACAAACATGCCGCCGCCCTCTGATCATCATGATTTAGTCCTGTTGCCCTCACCTTGTTGACATACAGGGTCATCTAAAAAGAATACCCACGATTATTATTATTATTTTTTTAAAGGGATCTGTATTATAATCTGGGTGTTCTTTTTTTATCTCCCTCTATGTAAACAAGGTGGTATTTACGAGGGTTATGTAAAAAAATTATATATATAAATACACAGGGTGGTAAGAAGTGATTGATACTTTAAAATTTAGGTATGGTTTTTGGATCACGCTGTATATTTACATTTGTTTACACAGTATTCCTCGAGGTGTTGTAAATGTCTCACGAGATTAGTGTGATTTACAGTTTGTCTCGTGGGGTTTAATGTGATTTACAAATGCTGGGGTTATTTTTTGTGTGTTATTTTACAGATCGTCAGCCTCTATCAAAGGGTTCCACCGGGTTAATAGAGTAATTAAGGGTAATTAACTCTTACTTAGCGCTGATCCTCGTCTGCTTTGATATTTTTTTTTTATTAGTCCGGTTGTTCCTGATGTTTAACAAAATCACGGCCGGTCTTTTATTTCTCTTTTGTTTGGGGGGGATTTTTGTTTATGTGTTGTGACTTATTTTTATTTGTTTTGTTCGTGTTTAGGTTTTTTGTTTGTTGTTGTTGTTATTGTAATACGATCTATGTTTATTGTGTTGAAAAATTCTATGCAGGGTCTCTCTCTCTCTCTCTCTCTCTCTCTCTCTCTCTCTCTCCACACAACCGGTTACACCATTAAGCCAGCATGTGAATCAGTTTTACTAGCATGGCCAAGGCCATGGGGATGACAAGCATGGCCCGGAGGTAGTGGCATGGGCCAGCGGGTGGTGGCCAAGGCCAAGGAGTGGTGGGCAGGGCCAGGGGTGGTGGTGGTCAGGGCCAGGGGTCACGAGGCTGATGCAATGTTAAGATAATCTGGCTAGATGGAGACAGACTCCCCCGCTAATGATGCTTAATGAGGATAATTAACCCCCCTGCCTTCCCTGACCCGCCCCCCTGACCCGCCTTCCCTTTGACCCTTTCCCCTTACCCTCTTTCCCTTTGACTCGTTTCCCGACCTGCCCTCCCTTTAACCCTTCCCCCTGACTCTCCCTCTGACCTTCCCCTGACCCCCCTTCCCCTTACCCTCTTTCCCTTTGACTCATCCTCCTGGCTAGGTCTCCCTTCGACCGCCAGACCTCCTCTCCCTTCGCCCTGTCCCTCTCCCCCCCTACCTGCGTCCACATCTCTCTTCCCTTCTACTACTCCCTCCCAAAAGCATTTATCTAAACCTCCTGTAAATCGGATCTTCCCTCACTCTTCCTTCTAGCACCCCCTTCCACTCACCTCCCTCTCCTCTACCCCTCACTCCCCTGGTCCCCATCCCTTTCCTTCTTTTTTCCCTCCTCCTTCTCACCCTCTTTCTTCCTCCCCCTCCCTCCATCCTTCCTCCTGATGCGACCGCGAATAGTAACAGGTTAATGATCAACTTCATAGACTAGAGTTAAAGAGAGAACAAGAGAGAGAGAGAGAGAGAGAGAGAGAGAGAGAGAGTGTTGCCGGGTCAGGAAGTATTTACAGGTGAAGCCATGCGTGTGTTGGTCAAGGCGAAGAAGTATATTTTCTTAGGTGAGGCGAGGGAGTGAGAGAGAGGAGTGAGATAAACAATTGAGATAAACGTAGAAGTTCCCTGTTAGCAAATTAAGGAAAAAGTAAATTATTATATATATATTTTTAATATAGTTTTAATAAGATTGAAAGACAATAAAGCATATATATATAGTTTACAAAATAACTAATAAATTTTAATAACTCATTTTATTGAAAAGAAATACAATAAGGAGATTAATGGAAGATGATATAATTAATTTAATTATTTGTAAATAAAAATATACTATATAACTGTCTTTAATTGTTAATGGTTAGGTTAAGTTTGGTTAGGTTACTCATTCGGTGCTTGGGTGAGTGAGTGAATCAGTCAGGTCAGTGTGTTAGTCATTCAGACAGCCAGTTACGAGAAGCATCCATAGAGCTAGCTGACACAGGGAGCAAGAACAGGTGGGGAGCAGACAATGCGATAATAAATCACTTTTAAGGAGGACAAAATACATACAATAAGCTCTCTTTTACCACGTGTGTGTGTGTGTGTGTGTGTGTGTGTGTGTGTGTGTGTGTGTGTGTGTGTGTGTGTGTGTGTGTGTGTGTTTAAGCGCCATCACAGGTAAGTGGGTCGAACCTTCGTCGGGTGTAGCTGCCGTAAGCGTGTCATTATCAGGTGATGGGGAACATGCTGTCACTGTTGATAGTTGTCACTGTCGCCGTTAATGTCTGTCACTGTCACCGTTAATGGATGGTATTTTCACCGTTGATGGCTGTTCATGGCTCGTCCTGTTACTGTTGATGGATGGTATTTTCACCATTAATGGATGTATTTCACTGTTCATGGCTCGTCCTGTTACTGTTGATGGATGGTATTTTCACCATTAATGGATGTGTTTCACTGTTCATGGTTCGTCCTGTCACTGTTGATGGATGGTATTTTCACCGTTAATGGATGTATTTCACTGTTCATGGCTCGTCATGTCACTGTTGATGGATGGTATTTTCACCATTAATGGATGTATTTCACTGTTCATGGCTCGTCCTGTTACTGTTGATGGATGGTATTTTCACCGTTGATGGATGTATTTCACTGTTCATGGCTCGTCATGTCACTGTTGATGGATGGTATTTTCACTGTTGATGGCTGGCACTGGCGCTGTTAATGACTGGCACTGTTATCATGTTATCACTGCGGCATTGACTCTTGCACCGCACTGAGAACTGATAATACCTAAGATGCCTGGGAAAAAAAATCACCACTTCCAGCATATCTCTCCTGGCTTATTATTTGACTGCGATTGAAACGTTTATGTACCTGTATTTCTTCACGTGTACCTGTAATTAACTTCACGCTGGTACCTTCAATTAACTTTACACCTGTACCTGTAATAAGTTTCGCCTCTACCTGTAATTAACTTCATGCAGGTACTTGTAATTTAATTCACGCCTGTACCTGTAATTAACTTCACGCCTGTACCTGTAATTAACTTCACGCAGGTACCTGTAATTTAATTCACGCCTGTACCTGTAATTAACTTCACACCTGTACCGTAAATTAATATATTACCTCGTTTTTGTACATTTCAGGATTTTTTCATGTATTTTCTTACTCTTTAAAAGTTTGGGGGGTTTGTTTTTGTGTCGGTTTGTGGGATTTTGTGTTTTTATTTTGTTTTTGACATTAGGATTTTAGTTTTTGTTTTGACACGTGTTGGTTCGTTAATTTATTATCTGTACTTCTTACCAAATCGTAAAAGTTGACTGTATGTTCGTTATGTGTGATAAATAATGTTAAGAATAAGGTATATTACTGCGGTATATATATATATATTACTCTATTACGGTCAGTGTTTACTTAACGTACACCCGCTTAACGATCATCCGGTTAACGATCATCCGGTTAACGATCATCCAGTTAACGAATATCCAAATAACATACAAGTTGTCAAAAATGCATCACGTACGTTAAGCAAACACTGACTATAATATTCCCTTTACTTTACATTGCTTATTATTGATATATTTCATCTAATTTCTTCTTTTTTCTCTCTTTTACAGAATAAGTCACAGTGGTTGAAAAGTGACACATGGAAAATTACTGGTGGGATAATGTAAACTTTTCCTGTGCGGTCTCGTCTCTTCCCCACAAGTGTAAGTAAAGTTCTTTCCTCTTGTTCACCTTCAATTAATTTTTACCTGGCTAATTACCTGGATAAATACCTGGATATATTGACCTACCTGTTTTTTTTATGTTGATTTCTCTGGAGGGGTTTTTTATTACTGGTTTATATGGGGTTTAGCTGTTTATTTCTGTATGGGGGGTTTATGAGAGGTTTATTTATGTAGCCTGTGGGGTTTTATTAGTGGTTTATTTCTGTATGAGGGGTTTATTAGGACTTTTAGTCGTGGTTTATTTATATATGGTATTTCATATGAGGTTTATTTCTGTGGGGTTTTGTTAGTGGTTTATTTCTGCGGGTTTTTTTATTAGTGGTTTATATCCTTCTTGAGGGTTTTAATCGTCAGAGGTGTATAACAGGAAGAGATAGGAGTGCCTCTCTTCTTTCAATGGTAGACCAGGAAAAATTCTCAACGCCCTGTAGTGAGGTTTGGATCCTGGCGACCCGGGGTGAAAGTTTCGATCCGCGAGGACTGGAATGCCTGCTGCCTGCCTGCAAACCTGTCTCTCTCTCTCTCTCTCTCTCTCTCTGTTCTCTCTATCTCTTTCTTTTCTCTATCTTTTTTCTTTATATTTCTCTTCTCTCCCTCTATGCAACACCACCAGCAACAACAATAACAACACTTAACACCATCACTACCACTCACAAACAACAACACCGTCAGTACACACCCCCCCCCCCCTCCTTTTTTCAGCCAGGTAGATGGGAGTGAGGTAGTACAGGTAAACAGATGGGTCACATCACCAATTATAACTAGTTGTGATATCAGGTGGTGTCACGCATATAAACAAGGCAGCTTCAGTCCTTCCTTACCACCACAGCTGTTTGTTGATACATACACACCTACGTATAGTCATGAATGTACAGTACGGTCATGAGTGTACAGTGCGGTCATGAATGTACAGTACGGTCATGAATGTACAGTACGGTCATGAGTGTACAGTACGGTCATGAATGTACAGTACGGTCATAAGTTTACGATACTTTCATGATAAAGTACGATCATCAATGCATAGTACAGTCTTAATGTACAGTACAGTTATGAATGCACAGTACGGTCGTGAATGCACAGTACGATTTTGAATACACAGTACAGTTATAAAGGCACAGTACTGTCATGAATGCACAGTACTGTCATGAATGCACAGTACTGTCATGAATGCACAGTGCTGTCATGAATGCACAGTACTGTCATGAATGCACAGTGCTGTCATGAATGCATATGAATACAGGGGGTAATATATTTTTTTAAATATCTGTATTATTTAGTCTAGTGAAATAGCTCTTAACCGCATTAACACTCACCTGATCTAAGTAATTATTTAACATTTTCTAAGTTAATACACCAACTGTTTCTAACTTAACCAGGTGCTAAACTCTCCTTAATTAACCTTTATTTACCTTACCTGTGCTAGCCAGACATAACTGCATCACCCTAACACATCAGAACATTAAGATAGAGTATATACGAACATGTTTATAAATACATAATAACAAATACATGTACATAATGTAGTCAACAATATGTGCGTCAGGTTACATATGCAGTAGAGTTTTAATACACGTCACAGTGCAGACAGTAGTGAAGTATAAATGTGTACATACTGTATCTCACACGTGTAACGACCTACATAGAATGTGTGTTTATGATGTGTTGTACTATGTGTTAAGGCAGTGTTGTCAGTATGTGTGTCAGTGTACTGTACTGCAGGTTAATGTTAGCTCGCGACACCGGCTATAAACCAGCCAGTGTTGACATGATAATAGTCGCCGTTACCAACTGCTGCTGTGTCGTAACCTTCCACTTGGTAACCTCCGCGCTGAGGTAACCTCCGCGCTGAGCTAACCTCCACCCTGAGGTAAAACGCTGAGGTAACCTCACGGAGGTAACTTCCACGTTGAGGTGAAGGTGACCTCCACACTGAAGTAACCTCATTGAGGTAACCTCGTCGGCGGAGAAACCCTCTTACTGAGGTAACATTCGTTGAAGAAACCTCCTTACTGAGGCAACCAGTCGAGGCTGGCGTGACGTGGGCAGTGTGGTGATTGTAGTGTGGCGAGGCAGGTGTGACTCAGGTGTGGTGCAGTAGGTGTGGTGTGAGAGGTGTAGCGAGGGAGGTGTGATGCAGTAGGTGTGGCGTGACAGGTGTGGCTCAGTTATAGTCCGGCAGGTGTGGCGTGACAGGTGTGGCTCAGTTATGGTCCGGCAGGTGTGACTCAGGTGTGGCATGGCAGGTGTGGCCGGCACTCACCTGCCTCACTCAGCCTTCCCTGCTTGACCTCTTAACCACCGTGACCCCAATACTTCCCTCCCTCCCACCTCATCACGCCACCACCACCATCAACCAACCTCACAACCATCCACCATTACTATCAACCCAACCCCTCTACCACCACCCAACCTGACCATCACCACCAACCACAAACATTCCTCACCATCACAACCATCCCGCCCTACCACAATCACTGAACTAACTTAACCAGACCACCACAACCATCCCTACCACAACCATCTTTGCTTACAGCTACCACCCCCTAATATATAATCCTACTCCTCCCCCCCCACTTAACCACAACCACTCTACCCACCACAACCACTTTACCCACCACAACCACTCTACCCACCACAATTACCCCACCCACCACAACCACGATTCCTTTCTCTGCATGACTAACGACTCTTTCACCCATACCTTTTCAATTCTCTCCTCACCACAGACTAGTCTTGCCACTTCCCACCCCCACCCCCCCGTGCTAAGGTGAAAGCCTTCCAAGTGTTACTTACATTCACTTGCGTACTTAACACGGAGTGAGAAACCCACCTGAGGATTATGGCTCCACTCAGACGGTATCTTAGTTAGTGGGGACCTGAGAGTATTTTTTTTTTGTAGAAGTCAAGACGATTCCTGAATTCATGGTCAACGTCTTAATCTACGGTATTGACTTCACTACACGAGGAAGTCAATTCTATATTAAAGACAATTTCAATATATGTTATTCTTTGACTTTCTTCGTGGTGAAAGTTAATTGTATGTCGGAAAGAATTCAAGATATCGTGAATTAATTTGGCTTTTAATACATTACGTGAGTTTTAGATATAAGATAATTCAGGGTCTGTTAGAGTGTGGTAGATGTGTGTGGTAGATGTGTGTGGTAGGTCTGTGGTAAATGTGTGGCGGCAATAGACGACACTCGAAATACAACCTGGTCACTTCCTCCTCGCTGTCTCGTCTTTGTGGTCTGAGAGAGAGAGAGAGAGAGAGAGAGAGAGAGAGAGAGAGAGAGAGTAGGATTGTTATCAGCGTGAAGTAGCGTGCAGGAACCATTTGGAGAGTTAAGTGTGAGGCCTAGAGTGTGTGTAAAGTGCGTGTTGAGTGCGTGTAGTGACATTAGAGTGTAACATACGAGTCCCTGGGTCTTAAGTTGTGTATCGGGAGGCCAAGGCACTATGATGTTAATATATGGTGAAGAATGGAAATCAAAGGGCGACTTCAAGGCTCTGTCACTGTGTCTTCAAGAGCCTTTGACGACGCTTCCAAGACTCCACCGTGTGATGGAGAAGGCAGGAATGTAAGATGTTCGGGTGTTGTAGTGTGTTGCTTACTGTTGTATTAGTTATAGAGGGAAAACGCGAATGAAGGTCCACCTCCAAGTGCCACCTCCAAGTCTCACCCCCAAGTGCCACCTCCAAGTCTCACCACCACCTCTTGATCCCGCGCCAGTACTTAGCAGCAACTGGAGGAGTGACGCCACCACCTCCAACACCTCCCCGCACCTCCCCGGCCTTGTCGCCATCACCAGCGGGTCTAAAAATACTGCATCCTAAGGTCCCGCCTCCAACACGGGGCGGCTCCTGAGTTAACGAATCCTTCTTTGTTAGGCCGTTGAGGGAGCTGTTGCCTGTAGGTGTACTTGGGTGTTGCTTGTAGGTGTACCTGGGTGTTGCCTGTAGGTGTACCCGGGTGTTGGCTGTAGGTGTACTTGGGTGTTGCCTGTAGGTGTACCTGGGTGTTGCCTGTAGGTGTACCTGGGTGTTGCCTGTAGGTGTACCTGGGTGTTGCCTGTAGGTGTACCTGGGTGTTGCCTGGAGGTGTACCTGGGTGTTGCCTGGAGGTGTACCTGGGTGTTGCCTGTAGGTGTACCTGGGTGTTGCCTGGAGGTGTACCTGGGTGTTGCCTGTAGGCAGCACCTGGGTGTTGGCCCTGTAGGTGCACCCAGTTGCCTTAAAACGGGTGTCACCTGAGGTGCACCTGGGTGCCTGTAGGTGCAACCCGGGTGCTGGCCTGGAGGTGCACCTGGGCAAGGCCTGAGGCACCTGCTGTCTCCAGGTGCACCCAGTGCTGGCCTGTAGGCAACCTGGGTGTTGCCTTGTAGGGTGCCCTGGGTGCGCCTGAGGCACCTGCGTCAGCTCTGTAGGTGTACCTGGGTGTTGCCTGAGGCACCAAGGTTGCCCTGAGGTGCACCCAAAAGGCCTGATGGCACTCTAAAAGGGCCAGGTACCTGGGTGCTGGCCTGGAGGCACCTGGGTGCTGCCTGAGGCAAAACAAGTCTGCCTGGAGGTGTACCTGGGTGTTGCCTGGAGGTGTACCTGGGTGTTGCCTGTAGGTGTACCTGGGTGTTGCCTGGAGGTGTACCTGGGTGTTGCCTGTAGGTGTATCTGGGTGTTGCCTGTAGGTGTACCTGGGTGTTGCCTGTAGGTGTACCTGGGTGTTGCCTGGAGGTGTACCTGGGTGTTGCCTGGACAGTGTTTTTTGGTCAGGTTAGGTTCAGAATACATACACACATACATACATACATACGTACATAACACTGAGCTCGAGTTTCTGTGAAGGATTTGTTTACATTATCAAAAAAAGAAAGTTAATGTAAAAGGTCTACAACTCCCCCGAATGTTTGTAAACACAGCGGAAACAAAAAAGAAAGTTGTGATTTCCTCGGCATTACGCTTCTTTCTTTCATTTTTCTTTTT